TGGGCCTCCTGCTCATGCCAATGGCGACAGGGGGTTCTGCGCATACAGCCAGTGGTTCTACAGCGCGGGCCCCGGCCTCTTGCAGGTGGGCGGCAGGCCTGGGGCTCCCCACAGAGAGGAGCTGACACTGACATGCCAATCTACCCCCCCCCCCCAACACACACCCTTCTATTTTAGCATCCCACTACTGGTCTATTTGAAAGCCCACTTCTAAAAGCCCCTCCCCCAGCCTTGCGGGAGGGGTGACTGGACCTGGGGTGCAACTAATTCAGTGGGACAAATGATCAAAAAAACAGGGTCAAGGGTTGTGAGTACTGGGAGTGGCAGAGCCCTGAGACTCGGGGGGGGCTGCCGCTCCCCTTCCCCACAACTGGGAGAACAGCAGCGCAGCCAGGAGCCTTTCCCTGCCCTGCCCATTGGCCAGAATCACTGCCAATGGGAGCTGTGGGGGGGGTGCCTGGGAGCAGCAGGGGGCATGGATCCAGGTAACTGCCTCCCCCCCCCATTCTCCTCATGCTTAGACCCTGCATTCCTACTCTCCTCACGCCTCCTCCTGGTTCTGTCCCCTACCTCCCATCCTTAGCCCACTCCTACACCCTACCTCTTGGCCAAACACTGCATCCCACCTCCTCCTGCACCCATTTTGTCAACGAAAAAGGGATGTACTGTAGTCTAGACGTAGCCCCTGGGTTTATATGGTTAATGGCATGTATGGTGCTTGTTCTGGCATATTAGATGATATGCTCTGATGCAAATCAAAATACCACTTTCACATTTTTCTGCATAGCTTACTGTTATGTACATATTTTTCCTCTACAGGGGTCCTGCAAACCTCTTTTACTAAAAATAGTTTAACTCTTTGTATGCTTAATAAAGCTATGTTTTAAACTTGCATATTATTTGAAGTGTATACTTTTTGAAAAAAAGACAGTTCTGTTTTAAAAGGTACTTATCAGTTTACCATGGACCTACCATTAAAATCAATTATTTATTAACAATATGGTTATTTCAAATATTCTTGCTTGGAAAAGGCAAATGCGAAGTGCTCTGTTACAGATTATGAAAGTTGTACAGGTTTCTCATGTACCTCTAGAAAAATGCCTTATTGAGCCTGTAGTCTCTGTTGTTTTCTTTTATTAATTCTGAACTCTTGCTGCTTCCAGTTTATCTCAAGAACTCCCAGATGGAATTAATTAGGTGTACTTTAAAGAGGAGCTGACTGAGCCTTTCCCCCTGTGGGGATATGGAGGTGTTGTTGATCATAGGGAATGCTAGAGAAATATACAAATGTAGGGACAATGGGGAAAGTTGTCTGGATTTGTAATTCCCTAACAGTAAAGCTTAATATAAACAGAGATGTTTCTCAGCTTGTATTATTTGTATTAAACTAGGACGCCTGAGAAAAACTTGAACTTCAGAGGGCCTTTTTTCATATTTAAGCCTGGGCCTTCTGTGATCTGTCTCTTCTAGTTGCTCATACTTTGCTGCTAATACGTAGCCCTAATATTGGTTATGGTAAAGATATCATGCCCCAGATTAAGCCTGTAACTACTGTGTTTTAGCACATATAACCCGCGGGTTATACAAATTTTTACAAACCCTGCAACGCCCCCGTGGGGTATACATGTCTGCGGGGCATGCAAGTTTATTTTTACTTGCCTGTGATGCGCTCTCTGTTCCCCCCTTCTGGAGGAGGGTGGGTTGCGCCTGGCTGCAGCTGCGTGGAACCTGGGAATGAGTGCGGCTTCCCTCCTGCAGGCCAGGCAGCATGCCTGCGCTGCGCTCTCTGTTCCCCCCTTGCTTCCCTCCTGCAGGCCAGCCAGCATGCCTGCGCTGTGCTCTCTGTTCCCCCCTCCCGGAGGCTGCGGCTGGTATGTGCAATTACCAGGTACCTTAAAGTAGCATATATAACCCATGGGCTATACAGGTGTGTGGGTTATCTAAGACTTTTTTTTCTTTACATTCAGGAAAAACCGCGGGTTATACACGAATGCGGGTTATATACGTTAATTTACGGTAGTTACTGTTAATCACTTTTGAAGACTGAAATAAATCAGCTAATAAGCCATTTTTTAATTCTAAGTTTGGGGTAAAACAATTCTTTATATTTTAAAATCTTTGTGCTTTTTGTGATTTCATAATTAGAAAACGGCTCGCTTTAAGTATCTGTTGGGGTATGTAAAAATGAATAGGTCTGAAATGGCTCTATATTAGTTGTTCAGGAGTTCAGCCACAATAGGTATTACCCTTGGACATGCTGTTTCCCTTCATTTTTGTATCCTAGAAAAATAGATAAGCATGCAGCTTTATTTTTTATGTGTCTTGATTATCCTCATTGGCTCTGCATAACATCTTCAGGGTCAAATTCCTTGTAATCTCTGTAACCTGTTAGTGTGTAGTATAGGAAACTGTTGATTCAATTAGAAATTATATAAATAGTAATTAGGGGTGAGTATAATTGTATTAATTATTTGCTAATTACTATTCATTTTATGGGAGTAAATATTACTAAATAAGGTTTTTGGAAAAGTAGTGATGACATGTGAATTAACATACTAAAATAGATAAAAGCATCTGACTAAAGCCAATTTGTTGCCTTTTAGATGTTGTGTTGTATGTCCAAGGTAAAAGTGCATAGGCAATAAAGCAGTTCTGTGTACCCCATCCACTCTTGTGTCACCTGTTTCTTCTCTAACAGTATCTGTATTTGTGACTAACTTCATCCCCTGTGAGAACTAATACACAGGTCATGTCTGACAAGATTTCTTTAAGAGATGCAAAATCTGGAAATGTTTAATTTCCTTCATATTTGGATATGCTTGATTACTGCTGAAGGACATGTAACAGTGTCCTTATTCATACAGATCCCATTTCTCCCCAAACACTTCACCAACTGTATTGACTTTCAAACTATAGAAAGGGAGTCTGTTCATGTGGAGCTGAAATGCAGTCACTTCTGGGGTAGTATGCAACAGCTGTTTTAGAACATGCAATGACCGTGCATGGCAACAAAAAAGAAGAATCTGTGAATATGTATTCTGCTAAAACTGCAGAGGGTAAGTAAGTAAACAGGAAGTAACTCTCCAAATTAGAATTTGGTCAGGATATTGGTGATATGTAGCCCACACTGATGAAATGGGTCAGAAGTTTTTAGATTGCTTTAATTAAGTAGATTAATTTTGTGTTTCTTCTGCATCAGCAATATCCCAAAATATCAGATTATTTTGGAGCACTAACACAGTGCTGACATAGAAGGAATCATCCTTACCACTTACTGTATCCCTTACATCTATTGTGTCCAGCTTGTTCTGAAGCAGTAGCAACTATAGTGGTTACTGCTATAGTGAATTAGCCATGCTCAACTGGCCAAATTGCCACTAGTGGCTAGCATATTGGACACCTCAGCATTATATGTTCCATGAAGTTTCCAAGGCCATTGGTTACTGAAAATGACCATGCATAGTGTCTGAAATTTGACGCATCACAAGGAAATTATAAGGTCTTAAAGTCTCTTTAAGACATGTAAAAGGGACTGTAACCTCTTTAGTATCTATTATGTTCTAAATTTTTGTGGTTACTAAAATATGAAGAATTTTTTAGAAAAGCAAGAAGTTCATGTTTGCATTCATTTGTGCATGTTTGCATTCATTTGTGTCTTATTGGTATGACTGAGTAGTAAGTCAATCCATGTCCTTCGGTAGTTGATGTAGCTGGTAAATTTCTTGCAAGATAGGGTCAACATCTAGTTGAAGGATGTATTTTGTTTTGCCACACATTGTGTTATGTATGAGTGTCTAAAATATTAATGATCTGTTTTTGTAGTTGAGTAAGTATAGATTAATGGCAGATTTATTTTTCTTAGCTGGTATACATCTCTCTTGTTTCCTGGAAACTAGTCAAGATGCCACTTGTGGTCACTGAAACAACATATAAATTACAGCAATTAAAGATAAAGAAGTAAAGAATGTAAGTTTGCTTTTTATTATATGTCTTCTGTAGTATAACATCTCAGGTTTCTAGGGTTTTTTCTGCCCTCTGCACCCAAAGCCACCTTTCTCTCCCACCAGTAATCCAGCCAACCATGTGTCGTGTTCACATCATATGGTTTAGCAGCAGATCTCTTATGGTACAACTGTCCATTCCTAGGGCACAGCTGTTTGAGCTTCTATTTACTATTCAGCTTGCCAGTTGCTAGATATTTTGAAGGGTTAGGGTGAACTGCAGTTCTTTCCATGAAAGAAAAATACTGTTCTCTATATAAGTGCTAAATATAAATAATGATCCTTTTTGTCAGACTGCTTGTCCAAGTTATTACCATTTCTCATTCCTTCAACTGCCGTTGTCATTTAGACTTTTCCATAACTGCTCAGCAGAGAGTTTGAGCTAGAAGTGCAGCATAGGTGATACTACCTGCCCCCAACATATTTCATTGTTGAAGGTCCTACAGTTTCTTTTTGAGCAGCAAAGGACAGAGGAATGTATCTATTGTTTGCCCCACTGAAGAGTTATTAACTAGGGCCCTACCAAATTCATGGCCATGAAACATGCATCTTGGACTGTGAAAGCATGTCTTTTTGTGTGCCTTTAGCCGACACTACACACATTTGACAGTCCTGGGAGTCCTGACCCTAAAGGTGGTTGTGTGTAGGAGGTCACAGTATTGCTGGCCTTACTGTTACACTGCCTTTAGAGCTGGGAAGATGTAAGGTGGCAGCTGTTAGCCAGGTTCCCAACACTAAAGATAGCACCTTGCCAGCAGCAGGCAGAAGTAAGGTTGGCAATACTATCCCATATCATCCTTACTCCAGCACGATTGCTGGCAGTGGCTCTACCTTCTGAAGTGGGCTCCTGATCAGCAGCCCAGTGCTCTCTGGCTGCCCAACTCAGAAGACAGCAGCCTCACAAAAGCAAAAATAGCCAATACACAGACCCCGTACGATAATCTTGCAACTCCCCACTACTCCTTTTTGGGTCGGAACCCCAACAATTATACCACCATAACATTTCAGATTTAAATATTTGACAGAATGAAAATTACTGTTTTTAAAATCCTATGACAGTGAAATTGACCAAAGTAGACCATGAATTAGGTAGAGCTTTAGTTATAACAGTCTGACTATGTCCCAGTCTCTGCCCAGCCATTCCCATACTCCTTGTCCCAGAAAGTCTGATGCTTTTCCTCTCTACTTTTGGATCAGGCAACTTTGTGATTGATGATTGGGCTGAGTGGTGGTGTCATTAAGAACAGAAAATAGACAGCTGCTTTCCCCAAAGTTTAGGGGACTCAGCATGGCTTGTAGTGGTCTAAAGCTTGCAGTTGCAGGGAAAGTTCCACTCAGCCCTCAATAGCTGGAAGATGCTCAATGCAAACAATTTAGAGGGAATTTAGTAAGTCTCTGTTGAGCATGTGTGAACTTTGATTCCACTTACCCCCAACGACTCATAACCTGGCCAAATTTGGACAGTTTTTCACAGAGAAAATAGAAGGCACATCTGTGACAAAAAAGCACCCCTCTTCCAGGTTTAAAGTTCCTGCTACAAACAATGAGTCTCCAGAGGTTGTCAAAGAGAATTTACCAAATTTTTTAACATGGGCAAAAGAGCATATCTTTTACTAGCCTCATTCTTGAAATGGCTAAACTGTTCTGGGTGAAATTTTGTGGGGGAAAAACGAGACTGAGGGAGACATCCAGCATAAAATTTCAGCTCATCTGCTTAAAGTTTAGTGAAGTCATAAGCTATTGAAAACAAGGCCTTTTTATGGTAAATATTGAGCAACTTTCATAAAGAGAAGAGAAAAGAGATGACAGAGAGAGGACATAACAGCTTTTAAGAACCTAAATGGGTGTTATAAAGAGAAGGGAGAAAAATTATTCTCCTTGACTTCTAATGATAGGATAAGAAGAAACAGGCTTAAATTACAGCAAGGGTACATTTAAACTACGCTGTATTTTTGAAAGAGGATATGCAAGTGGGACTTAATGGCCTCCTGAGGTCCCTTCCAGTTCTAGTATTCTATGATTCCATGATAATATGTCACACTATCTGGTGTACTTAGAATAATTAAGATGTTTATTTCCTTTCAACCAATATGTTGTAGGGGAAAGCAGTAGTTACAGATGTACTCTCTATTGCTCTTTCCAAAATATTGGCTAGTATCTTTAGCTTTGCTTGATGTGTAAACTTTGCAGATAAACTTCATGTAATAAGCCAGTTATTCTTCAAGCATGTATCTACCATATCTGGAAGAATGGCAACTTGCCAGTAAGGTGACAAAGGTGAGAGGGGATGGAGAAATTTAGTCTTCTGGTATTTCAAAACATGGAACAAGAAGCTGAAGCTATTTGTCCAGCTGCAAACCTATCACAGAGAGTAGAAAACAAAACAAAACAAAATCAGTCAGTCCTGCAACCTTTGTTTACACAAATAGTTCCACTGACTGTGTTAGTAAGGGATTACCCATATGAGATAGGGTTGCAGATTCAGACTTCCATAGCAAGATTTTCAAGAATGACTGAATTCTGTGTGCCCCAAATTTTGGGTGCTCAGCTTCACTCCTAAACCTAGTATGATGTTCAGAAAGTATAAAGTTCACATCCTGTGCGCATCTGCGATGTCTCAGATTACACACCCAGAGTTACCAGTTAATGCTGAATATCTTTGTCTAAGGGTTTTTATTTTTAGGAATTGTCCACAATGCAAATATAACAGATTAACCACAAATATAGGAATTCAGTTAAACATATATTACATACTAAATAAAATATACTTTTGTATTAGTTGTGCAATTTTCTCCTATACTTTATTGATTTTAAATATTAGCAGTAAGACAATTAACATAGAGACAAAGTCTATATTTTGTGATAGATCGTTTCCAATATACTGTATATAGTCCCTCATATATTCTAGCACATGTTATGATCCCTTTCCCACTGTTCACACATTGGCTCACTTGAAAAGACTACACAAACAAACAAAAAACCATGGAAAGACTAAATTTAAAGTTAATATCTTTTTTGGGGATTAAAATTCTCCTGAGAGCTATGATATTCCTGTTTGTAAGATTTGCATTCATGTATAATTTATATCTGGCCTTGGAAGAACCCATATTTGATTCATGCAAAATTTAAACCAGGGGTGGGGAACCATTTTTGGGTTGGAGGCCGCTGGCCCACAGAAAAATTAGTCAGGGCCTATGCACAAGTGAGAAACAAAATGTTCCCTCATTGGCGTGACCCCTGACTGATAAGTAGAAAGACATTCCCCACATTTCCCTAGCACACCAGAGGCTAGGGGAGTAGAGGCTTGTAGATTTTGTGTGCTTCTGTCCTGCAGTAGGATGGTGGCGGGAGGGAGGGGCTGGAGTGCCGGCATGGACTCACTAGTCTTGGGTGCCAGATCCAGGCAAGCTAGTGGCTGCATCCAACCCATGGGCCTGAGGTTCCCGACCCTAGCTTTAAACAAATATGCTCAGTGATCTGCATCTCCAAAATGCATTTCTTGATGGGAGCAAAATGATTCCTTTACTTCAGTAAGTAAAGATACGATGGTATGACCATAATTCCCCATCTCAGTTCAGAAATGAGTTCTGGAGTTTACTCACATTTATGTGAAGAGCCTGGAAGCTCTGGCGATAGGCTCATGATTGTCATGTTAAGGTAGACCCTGGGTCAACCATAGGAACTATTGTCCATTGGGATGTTAAGATCACCTGTCCTAAGACAAAATGTCTGGTCAGCTTCTGATACAAAATCTGAGGAGACGTGTGCACCACTCTCTTCCAAGTGTAATCCTGTGTTATGTCCCCCCAGATAAGAGACCAAATTCATGACTGGTGCAGCCTCTGTGCATTTACACTCGAGATGAATTTGATTCAAAGTGAACAAACCACTTCCTACAGCTGAAATTATCTACAAATAACATATTCTCCCTCCTCCTTTGACTTAAGATAAACCAAGTATCTGTTAAGAAAGAGAGAAGCCAATAAAGAACCAGGTGACAAGGCTTGGTTTTACAAGCAAAGTCATGAATGACTCCTGCATGAAAAAATTATAGTTGGGGATAGTGAATTCATTAGCTACCACTCTTGCAATGGACAGTAGGAAGGGCAATATTTTGCCCAGTGCTCCTGAGATGGGGACAAGAATAAGATAAATGTGGTACTGATAGGTGCTGGACAGACAGAGCCACCTCCTGACTCATCTTCCTTTGCTTATCAAAACAGGAATTGGAGAACTCAAGACCTGAGAAATTTTATCCCCCCATGTCACAGCAGTATTGCTTAGTTCTCTCCACTGACTATTAAAAGAATACAGCGGAATGTTCAAGCAAAGCTCTCCAAGACTGAATTCATCTTTGGACAACAGCAGCTTGTACTACATATGTGTTCCAAAGAGAAGATAAAACCTTATACCTCCAAATGCTTGATGATGATTCCAAGTCAACCCTCTGTAACTCATTTGACTTTCGTGGCATTTATCCAAGGTGAATTTGGCCCATTAACTGATCCTCACATCATCCCTGTGGAATATGTAAGAAGTAATCATATCCATTTTGGGTTTTCAAGGCAAGTGATCTTCTAATTTACTTCAGTGGGATTGCATTGGTTTAGATCAGAGATGTCATAACTTGGTGAAGGTCACTGAGGGATTCATTATATGAGCTGGGTATAGAACTCATTAGGTCTGATTTTCCTCCTATCCCACTTCTAACCTTTAGATCACACTGCAGTAATTCTAAATCCAACCCTACCTATAATTACCATCATAGTTAGTTATTGCTTGGGAATTCTGATTGTCAGCATTTATTGCCAATTTATTCTAGGTACAGCACAGTTTATGGAATTGTTCATGTCCTCGTTATCTGATACACATACCTGCTCTCCTTGTTCAATGATACCCCAAACCATGGCTCAACAGCATAGCACATCTTTGAGACTATTCCAAATAAATCAAGTATAACCCATAATATAGCTCAAAGATGGACTTTTAAAATCAGCTGACATTCCTGAATATTTTATAGGCCTATTACAGGTTTTAGCATTGCTCTAAAACTGTAATTTCTTCCTTATTTAAAATCTGTGTGAGCTGAGACTAAGCCAGCACAACTCAGGAACACAGCCAAAGTTCTGAGAACACATGTCTGTTCCTCTGAAAGTTTGTAATAGGCTATTTTATACCTCTGCTCCTGCCCCATGCATTCTCATCATTGAATCATTTTTAAAACCCTGGATCTGTCTGACCATTTTTTCCAATCTTATGCCAACACTATTTGTAGTTTCCCACCTGTCGTCATGTGTATTACATTGTAATGTCTGTCTAATGCTGCTGTAGTTATAGTACTTTAACAGACTAGGTATGCTGTGTATAAATTACCATATAAATTTCCCAGCTTTGGTGTTATAATTCCAATACGCGCAAAGACCCTTTGACTACCACTTCACGTCACTATGATGAGATACATCTGTAGTCACCCAGGTAGGACTATGGAACCAAGGTGTAATGGCCTCTCAAGGGTGGAATTTTAAAGGGAGAAGAGAGAAGTTTAAGAGCTGAGGATTCCTCTGATTCATAAAAGTAACAATATTTGTCTAATCTCAGTTCTAAATTTCCAACATGTCCAATCACTGTTAAGGGGTTTGTACACCTTTATAATAAATCTTTCAACATTCACAGTGCAGTTTATTATTTTATTTTATAATGTGTTGCAGTAGTGCTTAGGCAAGTTACAAAACACAGAGTGAAAAGAAGTCTCTGCCCCAAATTTCTCACAATCTAAAAGGGCATGACAAAGAATAGAATACAAGAATAGCCATACTGTATCAGACCAAAGATCCATCTAGCTCAGTATCCTATCTTCCAATAGTGAATGCCAGATGCCCCAGAGGGAGTGAACAGGACAGGTAACTATCAAGTGACCTATCCTTTGTTGCTCATTCCCAGCTTCTAGCAAACAGAGTCTAGGGACATCATCCTTGCCCATCCTGTCTAATAGCCATTGAAGTCCATAAACTTATCTCTGTTTTGAACCCTGGTACAGTCTTGGCCTTCACAACATCCTCTGGCAAAGAGTTCCACAGGTTGAGTATGTGTTGTGTGAAGAAATGCTTCTTTTGGATTGTTTTAAATCTGCTGCCTGTTGATTTCATTTGATGACCCCTTGTTTTTGCATTATGAGAAGTAGTAAGTAATACTGAGAAGCGTTATTTACCCTGTCTAACAAATGAAGGAATGGAGGCACAGAGAGATCACTTATTGTAGTGGAAGCTGTTAGGCCAGTACCAAGCAAGCTCTTTTGAAATGTCACTCTAAGTGACCTGCTCAATGTCAGATAGGAAATCTGGCTATGCTTGAGACTGAGTCCCTGTCCAGAGGCATAGCCACACAACCTTCCTTCTGCATTCAAGAAAGTTGGCAAAACTTGATTGCAGTCTCATCAGCATCTGCTTTGTACTCTTAAAGATGCTATTATGCTTTGGTAGTATTTGAATAGTTTATAAGTATTTCCTGCCACATTTTATCCATGGTTGTATTTCAGCATCAGACAAAATTATTCCTATATATCTATATATAGCTTGTAAACACTTTGGGATCCTTTGACAACGTTGGTTGTTATGAACCAGACGTGTCTAATACTCAATATAGTTATTTTTTACTTTGAAACATGTCTTAAGTTTATAACTCTTTCTAATAAGAATAATATGAGATTTTATATATCTCCTCACTGTGTTGAGAAATTACCAACACTTCTTTCAAAAATTATTTTCTTGACTTCAAAAGTTTTTCTATTAGACTTTTATAATCATGCTCTATTTCACTTTTTAAAGTCACGCTGTCCCTAGTTAAAATAATAGTCAGTTTTTACATAACTAATAAAACTGTAACTTACTAAAACTGATTTCAGAAATAAGATATAGAGCTATACTCTGCAATGATCTCTGTAAGGGTATGTCTAGACTACATGCCTCTCTCGGCAGAGGCATGTACAGGCAGTCCCCAGGTTATGTACAAGATAGGGACTGTAGGTTTGTTCTTAAGTTGAATTTGTACGTAAGTCGGAACTGGCATCTAGATTCAGCCGCTGCTGAAACTGACCAGCGGCTGACTTCAGGAAGCCTGAGGCAGAGTTTCTCTACCCCGGGCTTCCTGGAATCAGCCGCTGATCAGTTTCAACAGTGGCTGAATCTGGACGCCTGGAACAGAGCAGCTGGGGCGCTGCCGGGTAGGTCCCCGCAGCGCTGCACCTTGGCGCTGCGGGGACCAACCCGGCAGCATCCCAGCTGCTCTACCCCAGGCGTCTCCAAGTCAGCTGCTGCTGAAACTGATCAGCGGCTGATTCCAGGAAGCCTGGGGCAGAACCACTCTGCCTCGGGCTTTCTGTAGTCCGCCG